ATCATGCAATTTTAAATCAGCACTAATTGATGGAGTTCTCGACTCAGAAGAGAGAGAGAAAAAATTTACACTTGCAAATTGAAATCTCGCGTTTATGTCAATAATAATTTCCTTCAGTATTTGCATATCATAGTCAACAGATTCATTGCAATTTGCAAATATAGAACAACTTCAAAGTCCTCGAAAAGTACACAAGTCAGCTCGTGTACAGCAATTTGACCGAGTGATGAATGAGCTCGTCATTTAAATACATTTTAATTGCGCTCATTGAAGAGAGTAAGTGAAGAAGAAAGAAGTAATTAATTCATGAATTATTACCTCACTGCAATGCCACAGAGTATAATTTTCTGTAATTTTCTCCCACAATTTTCTTCTTTTATAATACTTTCAGCTTCTTTTTTTTGTGTTTATCAATTTAATGCAAGCACTTTTCAATTAACACTTATGCCGCAACACCACCTGTTTCATTTTTCACGCGACTTCTCCTTGCCATTATTTTGTCTTTGTTCTTCATGCAAAATAACTCAACAATAAGAAAATTTTCTTCATAACTTGTTGTGTGTGTCGCCTTGTCTCCTCTTCTTTTCAGTTTTTGTTGCATTTATAAGCAACATAACTTTTGGTTTCCTTTCTTAGTTTGCGTTATTTTGGTTTTAAAACTTTAAAGATATTTTTCATTTATGCAATAAATTTTTAAACACGAAACTCTTGCAATTTTTTGTGGATGGTTTTTTTTTTAAAAGAGAATATTTAAGTATTTTATGATGAAAGGAACAATTACCAGGAATAAGTTGAATTAAACAATCAAAATTCTTTGCATTCTTTAAAGGATGTAGACAGTTGTGAATCTGAAGGTTTTCATAGAATCAACAATTCTAATTGAATCAGGAGAAATAAGCTCGTCGCATAGCCTAAGGTGATTCTTGAAATTTTTATTTTTACATTTTAATACTTTATATATGTTTATTTAAAATATCCTGCAGAAATCTAACCATCACAATGTAAAATTATTTCTCTTGTTAATTATTTAAGTTGCCTTAAAAATCGATTTAATTGGTCGTTTCCTGACAAATTGCTTTAATAGCTCACAAGTTTAAAGACATCAACTAATACAAAATTTAAAAAGAATTAAGTTTGACCATTTCGAAGAAAACAAAATCAATGTAATTAGCCTGTTTTTATTTCACATAAAGCAGTCAAGACTCACAATCAAAAACCCATCACCCTTTAATCGACCAAAACTACAAAGTTCAATTATCATCAAGTGAATAAGCCTTGTAAATGACTTCCATACTTCTATACTTTTTATTGTTATGATGTAGCAAAGCTGCAAATGCATGAGATTAAAGCAGCGCAAAAATGAAATAAAAACCCAATTTTCCATGCTTCTCTATGTTCTTTCTGCTTCTCTTTCAGTTCTCTTTGCCCTTCATTCTCTTCAAAAAAAAATTCACAATAACACTTAAGTATGATTATTTCTCTCCATTCTTTCTCCTTTCGTTCTTTCAACATAATTTGTACTTTTTCGATGCTTGAATGCCTTCATAATGATTGCTAGCAGTTTCTTTCTTTCTATCTCTCATTCTATTTCTCTCTCTCTCTCTAACTTTGAGTTACAAGAAGTTTTCAAAAAGTCCGAAAAGAATACCCGAAAAAAATTCTTCACTAATGATGCCTTTGTTTTGCCATTGAGTTCTTTTTTATTGCCCATCTAATTATACCCCACCATCAGAAAATATACAGAGCACAAAGGGAATTAAGTTGAAAATTTCTTTTTTAATTCCTTTCGCTTGAAAATTTTTGAAAACAAAATTTTTTTGCATTTTTTGTTGTTTTCTTGCAAAATACAAGAAGAATTATTTCTGCTATGCTTGGATTAAAAAAAGCAGGCAAAATTGAGGGGTTGAGTTGAACGATTGAAGCAGAACAGTGAGTAAGGCAATTAAATTTAATTCCATTCCACAGGAAATTGTCTCTTATAGAAGTTAAATGAGAACACAAGCGGAGCAAGCAAACGGAGATGATGAACAAAAAATGATTATTGGAGGAAGCAAAGGAGTCGATCTGTGTGTTTGTCTCTTGCGGCTGTTTAAGGAAATTCTTCACGGGAATATTGAGAAATTCTGAAAATATTTCATCATAGAAATATTTTTCTTACAGCATCCCTAAACCTTTTTTATCTATCTTTTCTTTCACTTCGGCGGATGTTAAAGGAATTTTGACTTTAAGGTTTCCACACTGAGGAATGGAATGGATCATGCAGTGAAATAATTTTTTATGGTTATTAAAAATGTGTGGATTGATTTTTTTCTTAATGCGGGTTCAGAGATTTTTCATAAACTTCTGATTTAATTTTTTTGGTTGGTTTCGAAATATTTCAAGTATTCTTTACCTCTCGTTTCCTCATTAGAATTTTTCGATTTTAATAAGAAATCTCACCTCAGCACTTAAAATAAAATCACAACAATAACATTCACTACCTCTCCGAGTGAGAAATCCCAACATAGTTGCAATAAAACCTTCACCTTTTTGTTACAAGTGTCGGGTATATTGCCGACTATAAAATTAAACAAAAGCAAAAAGTTAAGAACAACAAAACTCTTATTTCTAACAAGAAGAACAAGTATTTTACTGATAATTATAATTTTTATGAATTGCCTCGATTTTTTGTTATTTCTCTTGTGTTAGCCTTCGTCGTGACCGTAAAAAATAATTCCTATTGGAAAAGATTCGCGGTTAATCAAGTGGAAAGATTGAAATTTTTTTTCTTCATTTCATGTTCACTGGCTTAACGAGAGTAAGAGAATAAATGGGAGAGACAGAAAGAAAAGTTACCACAAAAACCGTAATGTGGAATGTAATCCACTAAGAAAATGACCTTTCTTTTATAAGGTTTCTCGCCTTTTTCCCGTACCGTTGCTATGTATTTCGCTTCTAGTTGCTGACCCAACAGGTTTTGAGTGCATCGTGATGCACATTTCTCATCTTTCATGTGAAAATTTATTGCTTTGGTTTATTTTACTTCTAATTTCTTTCCATTGCTTCTCTTCCTTCATTTATGCTTCTCTTTTTAAATTCAGATGTATGTTGTTAATTACATATTGAAAATTGAATAAGCATGAAGTTAAAAATGCATCGTAATTTAAGGTCCTTTGTGTGATTCTTTTTTGTATGAAAAAATTCCTTTTCTACAAATGCGATTTGTGTTGGATGTTGAAGGGACGTCGATTGTGTTGTTATTTAAGCTAGGTAAGAATTTTATTTTTCTCTTTTGCTCTCTCTCACTCTGTCTCACCAACCTTTTGTGTAATTTTTCGAATAGCAATTCAACATAATAAATATAAAGTAGGAAGAATTGAAATAAGAAGAAGGCAAAAGCAGAAGAGAAAAAAGTCGTCTGAATGTTTGAGATTTAAACAAGATAAGATGCCCAGTTTGTAAACTTAAATATTAATTTGAAATTAAGATAATTGCCCTATGATAAAAACCAATTAACTTCTTCACAGCTTACAGGCAAACTCGTCACATTGTACAGCAAATACAGAACAGAAATAACTTTCGATAAAGAATATTAGAAAAATAGAAAAACACGCAATAAATTAATGAAAGAGAGAAAACGAAGAAAATTGGAATAATTATTCTTGAATGCAGATATTATATCCAACAATTTTTTTTTCATGACGGCAGTTTTCTTTTGTTGTATGACACATTCAGACTTTAATTGAATCAAATTATATGAGAATTTTTTCATTGTCATAAAGCGAGTATTTTTTTTGTGTGCCTTTGTGAAAGAAAAAATATTTTTTGCTGAATTTCTTTTGATCGCAATTTTTATTTTATTTTTTTGTCCCGGAGAAAAAAAAAATTTTTTTCCTTCAATCAAATCGAAATTTTTCCTCTGAAAAAATTCAGCAAATTGTAAAATATGAAAAACATCACTCAGATTTGACGGTATAAATATTTATGAAGCATTCCTCAATTTCTAAATTATATTTTTTTAAGCACAGGAAAATGATATTTTGAAGCCTAGTCTAAAATGGAATTTCCTTAGATTTTAACTTTTGAATAAAAACAAATTTTCCCTAAATATAACTACAAGGAACTTCTCTAACGTATTTATATACAAAAAGTAATAGACAGCAACCAACAAACCTCGCACAATAAAGTTAAAAACTTTTTAATTGAAACCAATTATTTACTTTGCTGTTGTCGCTCACAATTTTGTCTAACTTCACATGACAGAAATGATAAAATTTTATTAAAAATTTAATTGCCAATTTTAAACCAATTTAATCACATTCAACTTCACTTCAATGCCAAAATTCAAAAAATATAAATTTAAATCCACTTAAAAAATTTTTGATCAGAAAAATTCAATCACAACAAAAATATTTCTTATCATCACTTGAACCATGCACAGACTCAAACATACACACGTCAATATCTTAGAACTCAAATTTAAGTAAATTTTCATATTATCATCATCTTCAATGATTCCGTTGTGAAAGAAATGTGAATAAAATTCCCGAAAAATTATCTCAAGAAAATTCTAATCCAATTGATTTCAATATTTTTCACATAATTTTTTATGTGAATTCTGATTTGATTTTATTATTATACTTCATCGTTTTTCTCTCATTTTTTGTCAGCTTAAACACACCGTACACTTCAGAAGAAGAATTTTTATTAAAATTAGGAAAGGAATGGTGACTTTTGAAGAACTTTTCAGCTTGACTATTATCTTGAAGCACCTAACATGTTATCAACTAATGTCATGTTATACGCTAGTAAAGAATTATACAACAGAAAGTTACAAGACGCGATAAACTTTTGGTGACTTATAAAAATAATCTGAGTCAAAAAATCCTTCAAATTTAACATCCCTTTAAGTCAACAGCAATGAAATTATTTATTTTTCTAGTTCACAAGAGTATTTTTATTATCGTCAAAAGAAGACAGCGATGACAATCGTTGATTTTAAGAAAGAATTCTAATTCTACCTTGGCAAATATCTTGATGTTCATTTAATTTTCTTCTTATCCAAGCAGCAGTCGATAATCCATTAGTTTTGGCATTTAAATATTCTTTAATCTTCATCCGTAAATCGTTTCAATCAAATTGATTCTTTTACTTTTAATAATTGAATATTTATGTATATGAATTAATTTCTCATTTCTTTTTATCTTTTTTCCACTTCTTTTATTCTTAATTTAATTTCTTCTCCTTTTGGACAACACAGAATAAGAAAAAATAAAAATAAAAAACTTTAAAGAACAAAAAATTATCTCGTCAAACACCTGTTTCACGACTATACACTCTTGCACACTCTTCTGATACACTGAATTTATACCGATTATTTTTTGCTTGTTTGTGTAAATTTTTTTAATATTCAAATATTTACGAATTTTAATTTTTCGTGATAACTTCTTATAATTTTATTAAGGTACACTTTTTTAGACGTACCTTATTTTATTATTTACTTTTTTCATTCCATTCACTAAACACATCAGTCGAGTAAGAATTATTCATTTATTTTTTCTTACATCCCCGCAAGAAAAATAAAAACAAAAAATACACAAAAGAAATGTTCTGTTGTGATTCACGTTTAATTATTGATAACGCGAATTATTGATAAAAGGTTCACCACCTATGAATTGTCGCTTGGCGGCACTCTAATTATACCTTACACGGTTAGATATTATAAATAAATTAAAATGACTTTACTTCTGACTATTATTTTTATTTCTATATGTTATTCCTGTTACACCTTTTTTTTCTTATTCCCGAGTCATGATTAAAAACGACCTGTTGTGCAAATTGCCTCCGTTCGCGTTTATGTTTGAATACAAACTGAAAAATGTGATCGACAAAATGTATTTTTTTCTGTGTGTTCTATCAAATACGAAAATGAGAAAAAAATTTTTTGTCTACTGTCGACAATCTAATCGGAGGGACAGAATGGAATACGAAATATGCGGGGAGAGACTTGCGCAGATAAGAGAAGAGAGAGAAAATTCTCTCCCAGGCGAATGCTATACGAAGTGAAGTTGACTGCGAATCATACAATTCCTAACATCTAGTACGATGAATCGAAGAAGTTTATATGATGTGATGTATTACAGCTATATAGATACAATATATGCTATATACATATATTTCTCTCTTTGGTCAAATGAACATGCTCGATAAAGTCATAGCTCATTTATCGTTAAAAATGAGCAAGACATCAAATTAATATTCTGACACTCGCGTCAGCCAGTAGAAGATGAAACAAGCGAAATATCACGAAACACAATGCAAATGACCTAATGGAAAACTTTTCTATTCCTCTTTTTCTTTTCTCCTACGCTGCTGCATGTGTCATTCATTTATTTGCTCTTTTGTTTTTCTTTTTTCAGAAGCATGAAAAATAAAAAGAAAATCATTTACTGAATACGACAAGTGAAAATGAAGAAAATGTTATGAATTAATTGAACAAAACAATTTTCTTTTGCAAAATCGTGCGATTTTGGTCATGGAAACATCTCAGTTCTTTTATATTCTGTTATTAATTTGCACACGTTTTTTTCTCGGTCTAGTCTATGAATTTTGAACTTTTCACGTGTTTGTTGACTTATAAATTTTTATGTTAAGAACAAGATCCTTAAAAATCAATAATATAGAGCAGTGCTGAATTTATGATATAAAGTTTCTAGGGCTTTTTGTTTTGAAAAATCTCAAATTTATAAAATCCAATTTTGAACTCACTTCGCAAAAAAAATTCAAAATATGCTCATGCCATCAAGGCAGATGAATCATTGTCTGTTGTCATCTTCAAAATATAAAATCCGCTTCTTAAAACAACAAGGTCGTATTAATAAAGAATTATCTGCTTTTTAATCAGCCTATTTCTATATTGTTGATTCTTGAATGCGAAATTTTTATTTATCTTGATTTGAATCTTAAGAAAGAGGTTGAAGCAAAGTTAAAAATATTATTCAGTTTTATCAGTCTTCTTCTAACTGGTTGATAAACGCGTTACCTTGAAGCTTTAGTGTGAATAGTCTCAAAAATCATCATTATTTGTTTTTCGTCGTGGAACAAACAAAAACATATTTTCTATTTAATGATGAGTAAGTTCTTTAGGTTCAACTTTTGAAATATCAATTGCAATAACAGATGAATTTTAATTACTCCTAATTGCTCGTAGCATACGTGCACAACATCCCGCAAGACTAGAGAATGCACAACAAAAAATATTTTATTGATCTTTAAAGGCCATTCAACTTTTCATATGTTTCAAGATGCATACGATAATTATTGTAAGTGAAAGGGAAATTCGAAAAGCTTAGCAAGAACTACGAAAGCCATATGATAGCATTATCCGAATGTGCACACACTCATTAATGAAATGAGCAAAGTGCGATAATGAGTTTATTTTCATTCCTTAATTAAAATATGGTTTTATATTATTATAATAATATTACATAATACCTGGTAAACGCAGTCAGGTTTTAATGAACTTGCTGTAAATCTGAATGTCCCTGAAGAGGGAAAAATGTTTTTTTTTTTTTTGAGTTTCAGTAAAAGTTGATATGTTAAATATAAAATATATTGATGATAATTTTATAAAGGTTAATTAACATGACAATGAAAACCTAGAAGGAGATTAATGTAACAAAAATTCGCATATCTCTGAAATATTTTTGAAAAATGAGATTCAATTTTTTTGGAATTTTTGGATACTTAAAATGTTTTATAGCAATTGAATGGATTAAAATTAGGCATTTCAAAATATTTTTCTTGAAACAATGTTGAACGGCATTTTAAAATAAACATGTTGAAAATATTAATCATAACTGCAAAAAGTTGATTGTTGCACTTCATATGATCTTTTATCAAAAAGTTTTTATTGATTTTTGGAAATAGTTTTGCAAGAATTAACATTTTAAGCTAAACTTGAATAAAATATGCACGCTTACCTAGACAAATTTTTTCAATCTTTTAAGCACATTGTTGATATGGAAAGAATTGTTATGAAAATCGTTGCCGATATGTTAAAAAGATTCCGAATCACCTTAAAGGTGTGCCCATAAATGTAACTAAAATTCGTTGAAAAATTGCAAGACCAAATAAATTAAGCTAAAAGATTGAGTTGTCCAAGCGCATGAAAAAGATAACATCTGCTTATTCATTCAAAACTGACATGTCTAAGCTTAGTAAGGGAAATATGATTTCGTTCACACGACATTGACAGTGCGTAGGCCAGATTAAATTCAGAGTATTTTTTGAGGAAAATATGCAAACGCAGATGTTTGAATGGCAACTTTAATAATTTCTGTTATTTATTGATGAATATCAAGCTGATTAAAACAATTCCTGTCTGACACTGAAATTTATTATCAAAAAAATAAATTACGATTTTATGGTTTTGAAAATCATTTATTGATTTTTAAGATCACAAAAAATTGAAAAAATTAAAATTCTTTACAAGTTTCTTCTTTCTTGTAAAAGTAACAAAACTGCCCTACCTCCATAAATTCATCATTTTCATCTCCATACAATTTATTATTCATTTCTTATCAGACAACAAAAAAACTCATCTGAAATTATTTACCGTCTTCTCAGTATGCACGTAGTGAAATGCATTTTATGTGAAGGCCAATCAAGGCCATTTTCAACATATGCCTACCGGATAAAATAGGTTAAATATTGAATGCGAAAAGTAAATTTGTTTATGCCAATGATATTGATTTTTATTCTCTTCCTTCATTCCAAGAGCATCATAGCTCATTTTATACATACTCAAAGTTATAAATATTTGAGATTAAAAATGTGTTTGTTTAATGAAAAAAAAAATTGCATAATGTTGTAGACCGAGACTTAAATGAATCCATTCAATTAAGACCAAATCGAAAATTAACAGTAAATTAATAATTTCAGAAAAAGTTGAAAATTTAATTAATTTCTGATAATTGACACTTTATTGTTAAATTAAATTAATAATTATGAATACTGCGTACATCACTGAATATATGAACTTATAATATGAATATTAACCTTGGATAGTTTTTGGAAAACATGAGACTGATTTGCATAAACGATGAGTCTGCTTCTCTTTTCGATGATAACCTTGCGATTGGTCAAGATTGTTGTTCAAAAGTTGCACAAGTCGTTGATCTTTTCTGATTAGCATCCATGCATTAAAATTTGATTATTGAATTAGGCATTCAAAAAAAAGACATTTGATATTTATCGCTTATCCGGTTAAACACTTAATTACTGTTCTAAACTAAATTCTTCAAAAAAATTTAAATTAATGTTGTGATGAACTCTACATTTCCTGTGTTTTGAGGTCTCTATCATTTGTTTTTCAAGTTTCAATCATCCTTGAGACAAATGATAATTTAAAATCAATCTATAAAGAGCTATGCTAAATATCTTGTTGAATATAAAATTATGTTCCTTTGTCATTTAAAAAAACTCCTTCTTATCCTTTTCAATCTAAACTCAAGGTGAGCAATTCAAACCAGAATCTTCATTTCCATGGAGTTTTTAACTTTTCTGTATTCAATATTTTTATTTAACAATTGCTCAAAATATCATTAAATTAAACTTATTGCATTAAAATAAGTGATTATCTCTTACTTTTACTCACATCACATTTTTTGGACTGACGCTTAACGTTTGGTCAGAATTTTTGTGTAACATTCACTTTAATCATTCGCTATTTATAGAATTTCAGGTTTGATCATTCTTTTTATATTTTATCAACTCCTGTTGACATAAAGAAAAATAAAAATTCACATTCAGCATGAGATTCAAATTTTTATCAACCCAATCTTATTCTGGAAGAAAAAATAATAATTTGCATTAAAAATGAAGGAGTCATTCAACGCAACAAATGATTTTTAAGAATAAGGAATCCCCGATATGATTTTCAAAATTTATAATTTTATTGCTTAAAAAATACAGCTTTTCGCATCATTTCTGATTAATAAAATCATTGACATCGTTTAAAAATATTACGTTTTGGATAGATTCCATTTTCGACTAGGATATCCATATCCAAACTTTTTATTGTGAAGTGCAAACTGGTCAGGGACTTATGGAATTAAAATATTGTAAAGGAAATGAGTTTCCTAATTGAGTGTGGGAAGTTGTTGTGAATTATAAAGCTAAATAAATAAAAAGAAAAAACCAACATATAGTATTTAAGGATACCAAAAACTATTTTTTTTAAAATGAACAGCTAAATCTTATAAGTTATCTATTCCATCCATTTTTCCTATTTATCTTGATGCTTAATATTGAATATTTTCGCTTAAAATCAACGTCAATCTTTCAACTTTACCATCCTCTTAGCTATTATCAAGCAATGTAAAACTTTTATTGATTTTACTTTTTAATTTCTATAGAAAATTCTGTTTGCATCCAGTTTACTTTTTAATCGGCGAAATAGAAAGCAGAACATTTTTTTCTCTCACTTACTCATTGTTCGTAGAAGCTCCAAGTCAAGGGAAGTATTACTTCATGAAAAACTAAATCAAAAGTTGGAAAAATTTGAGAAAATTTCTATAGCGGTAAAAATCCTTCCATCAACTCATCTCCAAGTAATTTTATGTGAATTATATGTTAGTAAGGATCTTTGATGTTTGCCAATAAAGTTTATGAGAGTAAAGCTTTTGTTTGAACTCATCAAGAACGAATTTAAAATTGAAGTTCGCAATTAAAACTTTTGTAAGCTTTAAAGTATGTTTTAAGGATTAAAGTTTTAATTATATTCACACCGTTTTCACGTGTGAATCTATTGGTTTTGTTCAGATTGAAAAATCAGTTTTTTGAATTTTGTGAGTATGTATAGCAAGGCAGCTTAAAATGATCAGAGATAAAAGTTTGTGCATGAAATTTTACATCTTTTGCAAAAAACAGATTTCAAATTAGTTGCGGCATTGCTGAGAAAATCGCAAAATATGCTTTATGTAAGCAAGCAAACAAGCAAGTTAATCAGCAAGAAATCTCAATAACGAGACATCCTAGAGACTTCTGGTTTTTAACATTTAATTCGTGCTGCTCTATAGAAGAGCTGTATTGTTTTTAGGCAAGGTAGGAACAGTCGTTGCTTCAGAAAAAGCAAAAAAAGTTCTTTTCTTACGAAATTTTTAAAACAAAAGTTGACTGTGATTTTTATAAAATTAAACTTTGGATGAAAATGTTTGTTAAAAAACTTTTAAAGAATGTTCGTTAAGCTTTAATCTTTCAAACGTTTGCTGAGCGAAGCTCAGCACTAGCTTTATAACTTTAAACCTATGCTGAGCAAATCTTGGTCTATCCATAACACTTTTGATGGTACGGTGTGAATATGGCCGCATTGCGTTTCTACCCAATACACTAGTTTTTAAATGAATAGTTAAATTTGTTTGACTTTAGAAATTAAGATTTAATATTTTACATTAAAAAAAAACTATTGGTGGTGATTACTTCATAAGGCAATGACATTCTTAATTTTAACAAGTGATTATCAAGTCATAAGTTCAAGATTTAAAAAGATACGTTTACACAATTTCTGATAATAATTTATGAAGGCTAAAACAACAAATAATAAATAAAACGTTGGATGTAAATATAATTATCATCTAAAAAATAAATTTAGAGTTTTAAAATTAAAGAATCCTGACTTACCTTGCATGATCTCATAATCATTTAAAACCTTTTAATATTAAACAAATGGCTAAACACCCAGGCATTATAAAACACGCTTTAGTCAGGATGACTCGAAGATAAAAATGTAAATAGTATCCCGTTGAAATTTTCAAGTCATTCTTGACCAATCTTATTAAAAAATATCTTGCGATGTTTTTGCATCTTTTAAAAAAATAAACTTGCGAAATTTATTTTTGATACTGATATCAGACTAATGACCAAAAAAACAAAAGCAACACCAGCAAAATTTGTTTAAAAAATCGTCTTTGTGTTGTATGAATGTGCGAACAGCTTTGCCTGTATTGTTGTCGCATTGCTAATGTATGAAAACTATAAAGGAAAACAAGAAACTGATATTTTCTTTTTGTTAAAAGTTAAATACTCAAAAGACAAGCATACAGTTTAAATCAGTCGCGAGTAAACTTTTGATTAGTGTGGAGCGATTTAAGCGGAGCGACAACTCGCTGAGTCGTGCAAAAAAATAAGAAAAAAATAAATAAAATTTAAATTTTGAAAATAGCAAAAAAAGAGTTAAGAAATAATTTAAAAAAAAGAAGTAAAAAGGCAAAGAACAAACACTTAAAATACTAAACTCAAATATTGCACAAAGAATATTCATTTACAACTAAGCATAAGTAGCATTAACATCAGCAGCACTTTTCCCTTCTTTATGCTGAAAAAAATTCTTAAGCAGAAACTTTCTTCACTCTTCAAACACGAAGAAAGAAAAAAAAATTATTTTATTCTTCACAGAAAAAGTTTCATTTTGCAAAAAGAACTGACTTTAGTGTAATTTTTCATGTTGAAGAAGGGAAAAAGACGGAACAGAAAAAGGAATGAAAAAAGAGTTATTTTTCATTTTGTAATTAAATATTTTTCTGTTAATAACTTTTTCAATTAATATTTCTCGTATCGGGATGTGTAAAGTGAAATGGGAATGAGAAACGACAAGCAAAGCAATGGAATTGCTATGTACTATTTTTTTTTTCCTTCACGAGCCAAAAAAAGTTTTTCGTTAAGAAAGTTTTCTTTCCTTAAATTTCATACATGTACTATTAAAAAGTGCCTTTCATCCCGTCTTTTTCAATTTCTCTTATGATTTTGGCAATAAAAAAATTTGCACTTGAGCAAGACGCGTTTTTGGCATATGAAAGTGCTGCTGATCAACTTTATAGTCAAATGTTTTTTTTTTTTTTTTTTTGAGAAAGGAGCAAAACGCTTCATTAGAAGTTTTTAATTTTTTGGAAGATAGAATTTTTTCTACAAAATTCTAAAATATTTTTATTTTAATTGAAAAGCTTAATGAAAAAAGAATAAATTTCAGTTTGCATTTTGGAATCAAAAAAAAATCAAGACTAGATAATTGAACGATTTAAAAGAACGAAAAGAACGACAAATCAACAGGAACCAATGTTGAATGGAAAGATGTTGATAAAATAATATTTTCCATAATCATGAATATGGAGAAGATGAATAATATTAAAAATCTACGCTTGATAGAGTTACTTGCTTCACAACCAATATAAAATGATACACATGTGATTTAAATTTATGGTTTAAATAATCATTAAAATGTGAATATTTTAGATAAAAAGCTGATAGTTCTTTAAAACGTTAAGTTTTTCACGTAGGCTATGTTTTATAAATCTCTCGACTCCATGCTCTTAAGTTAAAAGTACAATTAAGTTGAAATAATCGAATTAATGCTACAAAGTTTACTATGCATTCCAAACTCGTAGAAAATTTTCCGTTATGAAGAAATTGCTATCCCCAAACGATTTTATATACACATTAAATGCAAGTGAACAAGCTAAAACAAAAAAGGAATGAAATTGAACATAGTAAAGAAATACAATCAACAACAATTCCAGAATTAAGTGCATCTGATTTCATTTTCCAAATTCATTTTTCAACTCTCGTATGTGTGTACAATGCTATTGGGAAAATTGCTATTTTTTCCGGTTTTAATGTGCAAAAATAAAATTCTTTCTCTCTTATGCTCTGTATGTGTGCATAGATAGATCCATGAAAAAATAAATGAAGGGAAATGTCAAGGCTGTTTCACTTTTTTTATCATGATCATTGGATTATTACTAAATTGGAATCTCGACTGTTATTTTTGAATATTTCTATTATTTTTGAAAATAAAGTGTTATTTTCAAACACTTTACGATTTTTCTCTTTAAAAGTTCAGTAAATCACGCAAAGAAGAAATTTGTGCAATATTGTCAATAAACCTTAAAAACTCATCATTAACAAATTCATAAAAAAAATATACCCAAGTGTTTAGTCCTTTACGACCATCGTAATAAAATCGAATATTCTTTCATTTCATTTACAGAAATTAAGGCAAAGCAAAGGAAATAGATGTGAATTGTTAATAGTTTATATCAAACAAAATTAATGTATTTTGTATGTAAACAATATATAAAAAGTGGTTCGAACAGTTGAGAGAATAGAAGAAAAATTGAAAAGTGAACGAGTGTTGAGTTATAAATTTACGAGACGGAGATATAATAAGATAAGTGAAAAGACATTAATTATTGTTTGAAGGAAAGTGCTATCACTATAACCAGGACAAAACTACCATAAACTGCTAGATATTATTAGATATATACACGAAAAAAAGAGGAAAAAGTTTTTCTCATCATCGCGGAAAAGCTCCACAGCTGTATCTCGAGGAAATCAATTTTCAATTTTGTTCCTGTGCTATTCTTCTTCTGGTAAGTTTTCTGCATCATAAACTTTCTTATTTTGATGTCTCTTCTCTATCTCATGTGCATCAGATGTGTGTGCACTACAAACTTTATCTCTCTTCCATGCTTTGACATCGAACAAAATTTATGATTGAAAATTTATTGTTTTTATTTGTTCAAAATGTCATTTGAATGCATTTTGTTGATCTTAATTATTCAGTTATACACGAATTTTTGACCTTATTTTTAGTTCATCATGTAAATGCCATACTTAGGTTACTTGTTATTAAGCTTCTGAATAGTAAGCTTGTTTTCACACTTAACTTGTATGTTTCTAATAATTTCTGCGTTTCTCAAAGTTATTTTTGTGTTTTTATTATAATATTTTTAAACCAACAATTTCTTTATCTTATTTGCTCTCATTGTTGGCATTACAACTAGATTGTCTTGAAAAAAACCAAACTTACAACAAACTAAATGCTTTATTTTTTTCATTTTATTATTTAATTTATTCATTAAGTCACTTGTACATCATCAGACGGACGACAAAATTTTTGTATTGTGCAAAGCTGCATGTTTTAAGTATGTCTTTCTAGGTCATTTGAATTGATTATTTTTCACGCTTCAGCATAATTGACACATGAAATTTTTTTAAAATAATATTTTTTTTCTTGATATTAAAAATTGATTTGATTTAAAAAATTTGAACAAATATACATGTATGAGACTAAAGCTGCATAAAATAATGAAAATATTTACGTTTAGTTGTTTAAAAAATCTAACTGCATATTTAATAAGCGTGTTAAGCGAGAAAAATTCTAGAATAATAATTTAAAGTCACATATTAGTTTCAAAATAAATAAATATTAAAGCTTCTTATAATGCTGACAGATGCTATTACTTTAAATGTGCATTAAAATACTTTACCTATGACGTGATTTCTGGTGTTTTTGTCGATATGATTTATTGTAAATAACAATTGAACATAAAATTGTAATCAATTCAATTTATCGAGCCAATATTAGTGATTTATCTTGAATTTATTCAGCAAATAATTAAGCAATTCCACAATCTCACAAAAATGTCAATAATTTGGGTAAATTATTCAATGAATGGATTCATTATGATGTATATTGAGTATCACATTACAATTCTGTCTGCAAACAGAAAAATTATTGTTAAAGTTGATTGACATGCAAATAAGTCAGAACGTTTGGAGATCATAATTAGTTTGACAAGATGTTTCTTAAAAATTGATAAAATAAGCTCATGTAATGGTGATAAAATTTACAGTTTCAAGGCTGAGATCTTAACATTTTTTGTGACTTGCATATCTTTTTTTTTCGAAAAAAAAAGAATAATATTTAATATAAATAACTCTATTTTTATAATGCTGAATTCGAATTAATTATGCAAATAGTTTGCATCAATCGACATGAAATAAGTTCAAGACTTATGAAAATAAATGTCAATCCCTCATATTCTCAGTGATTGTTTATATTGACATATTTTATTAGGGTCTTCAAAATTCAAAAAACTCTTCGAAAATCTCTATTAATAAATGTTATTGTAAGCAATTAGCTTACACAACTCTAATTTAATCGAACACCAAAAAGGTGAAATCCCTATGACTCATAATTCCACAAATATATTTTTATTCGTAGCATGAAGTTGAAAAATAAGCGCACATACTTTCAGGAATTATTCTGACGCTGCATAAATGTTCTTAAAATGTTTTAATTCAAATTAAAATATTTGAACTTTTAATTATATTACACAACAATTATTATCAACACCCCAATTATATTGTGTATTGAGATAGTTAAGAATCTAGGTAAATAAATTAAGGAAATTTATTTAAATTTGAAAAGTATTCCCATCCATCCTCGTTATTTTCTGTCGAAAAGTGTTTGCTATTGAGACGAGTTTCACGAACAAAATAAACCAAACAATTAAATTCCAAATTGCAATCGCAGCGTTGAAAAAAAAATTATTTATAAAAAGATTTCATTACATCTGTCGCATAGTCATCATCATCATCACGAAAACTGAAGTTGAAAATGTTTATTTCTGAGCTATTTTGGCGCTTTTTTTGTTCAATTTAAAAGAATAAAAAATATTTTTGCAGTTTTAGGCAGTCAAATCACGTTCATAAACACATTTCAGTAGATTCTCTAGCAATCTACTCCACTAGAAAGAAAACTACACAGAATTAAATAGTACAGAGTTTAAAACAAATAAAAGTTTCATTAACAATCGTGTTAAAGTGCCTTTTAATGTGCTATGTATTCACCTTTAGTTTTGCATACACAACTCAAATAGAATAATCACTAACTGCTAGAATCAAGGAGATTTTTATTTCCATTTCAACAGCAATTGTGAACATGTATTCGATGAGGATAAAAGTGTTTGCTGAGAATCAGGACAATTTACAAGAAAGAAAAAGAATTAACAATGAGAATTTTTTGTGATGAAAATGACTTAAGATGACTTGTAAATCTTCTCAAGCGTATTGTATTATGTAATATTTCTAATTGCAAGTTAGTGAATGCTAATAATCTTCCATTTTGAAATCCTTTAAAAGATTTTGAAAAAATCTTCATTAATATTCATCATGATTTCGCAATTGCATAATTCTGCAGTTAATCTTTGAATCAGCTTTAAGCAAATGATGTAAAACAAAAGAATTTGAGATCATTCACCCCGGTAAATAAAGTACTATTTTTTGAAGAACATTAAAATTGTGAAGAATAGGACAGAATTTCAAAGGAAATTGTTATCTCGATTCGTGAATATGAAAGCATTAATTATCATACAAAAAGTCAATCCATGATGTTGAGTGATTTTGTACTAAATATTGGAAAGTGTTTGAATTTTGTTAATGCATGAAGCGCATTTAAAAACACTATGATCAGTAATATTTACTTAAATACCATTCAGTCTTGGTTTGTTTTTGAAAAATAATTTTAATAGATACTGATCCATTTGTTTTGCATCCAAACCTTATAAAAACTATAATTATGTTGCTCATTAATAAGCCACAAATACCTTGCAAAAACGAAGTCATTATCGTCAATCTGGATGTATTAAAAAATGTGCACACTTGAAAGGAAGGAAAAAATCATAACAACACAAAACAGCAGAAAAAAATGGGTTGAGTGGTACTTTTGTGTGTGTCTATTTTTGGGGAATGAAAATAAAACTCTTTTAAAGGAAATTTTTCAAGTACGAAAAAAATCACATCGCGATGGTTCCATTCAAGAGAGGAATAAAGGAGGAATGAAAAGAACTCTTGTTATTAAAAAAAAGAAATATAAGGAAAGGGTTGTTGATTACGTGTGTATATATTATGTATTGCAACCCTATTTCTTATTCATTCTTGAGGTCGTTAAACTCAAGCTATGCTTATGCAACGTTAATGCACTACCACTTGATTTTAAACTCAAATTTTCATATTTTTCTTCTTTATTTTAACGAACGAAAAAAAATGCACTCGAATCACTTTTTTCTATAGCAGAACTTCTCATGTACTTATATATGTTCACATATTTGCTCAAGTGATATGCGTTCTTGCGTCATTTAAACACACATACGCAAATTTTTTCTATTCAGTGCGTTATTTAAAATTGCACAAACATATATACATTTACATATTTTATGATGAAGAGGCCATTTAAATGATATGAGAACAGAAAGGAACGCACATAGAAGAGCATTGAAAGAATTATGCAGCAAAAGCTCTTTTCATTATTTTTTTTTAACAACAATCGAGGTGATGACATCGAGCATTATGGAAAATTTTATTGGCTGGTATTGACAAAAATGGTTTCAAACTTGAGACATATGTAATTCTAGGGTGGACTTCGGAGAAGAAACTTTTTTTCATAATTTTAAAAATACGCCCTAATTTTCATCAATAAAGGCGCTGTAATAATACAAATTCACATAACTTTCGCAACTTTTTTATATATTTCATATGCACAAATATCAAAGAACCTTTAACAATTGAGATTTGTATGGCAAGATATGGTATGAGTTTTAAGAGGAGAAAAAAAAAGAAGAAAAAGATGAAGTGACGCAAGAATGCATTATTGCGTGCCTTTCAATGAATCCAGTGAAGCGAAATGAAGAAGAAAGCACTTGGACTGGAAAAAATTTTTGCATTGAAATTATTCAATGCTTCATCATGTCTCTTGTCATAAGGAATGATGACGATGATGATTATTATTATTGTTATTAAAAGAGAGGGAGAGAGAGAGAGAGAGACAGAGTAATGAAAGCAAAAATAATGTAAACATTGAAGCTTCTCTGTTCTTATTTCACAACCATCATTATTATTAAATTTCATCTACTGCTTTTACTGCCATGTCTTATGCCTTTTATAAACAAGTATGCATTTTTGTGAGAGAAGAAATGTAATGAAAAATAAACACCCTCAGTTGATGCTTTCTGTTCGTTCTGAACATTCATTTTCATTATGGCACCAGAAAATACAAACTTTTGTTGCCTCTTCTTTGCGATTTTTATTGAAGGAAAACAAATCCATAAGATGAACATTTCCTTGCTATTTTCCCGCTTATGCTACCATTCCTGTTACTTGTCGTGCTTCACGCTATCTACTGTTTCTTTATAAAATATTTTCTATTTTATGAATTGAATTCCATTTCATATGAATGCCAGAGAAAGGATGGAGAAAAAAAATAAAGTGACGAATGCAATTTATTAAATGAAAATTCTTCATTATTATTCAATGAATTTAATTTAGATTATATAATTTCAATGATGAATTTTCATATACAGTTGGAATTTCCACCATTTTAAATCGCCATCAACAGATATTCATAGTCATAATAATAATAATATAGGAAGCGGTTCAACGAGAACTGTTGTGGCTCAAAAATATCGAAAATCAATACAATTTTAAAAAGCTTATAGCTTTATAATCACGTGATACTTACATGGCATCAACATAATAAAATTAATCCTGTTTGTGATCAGTAATGATCCATTCCTAAATAAGATGACGA